CATGGACCACGTGTCAGGGGCGGAAAAATGGCCATGGACCACGTGTCAGGGGCGGAAAATGGCCATGGACCACGTGTCAGAGGCGGAAAAATGGCTGTGGACCATGTCACGGGAGGGAAAATGGCCACGGATCCAGTTCGTAACCCGAGGCGGAGTTCGCAAACCGAGATAAATTTTTGCGGCCGGAGCTGGTCGTAACCTGAAAAGTTCATTAACAGAGGCGTTCGTAACCCGAGGCGGAGTTCGCAAACCGAGATAAATTTTTGCGGCCGGAGCTGGTCGTAACCTGAAAAGTTCATTAACAGAGGCGTTCGTAACCCGAGGCGGAGTTCGCAAACCGAGATAAATTTTTGCGGCCGGAGCTGGTCGTAACCTGAAAAGTTCATTAACAGAGGCGTTCGTAACCCGAGGTACCACTGTAAAATCCAAAGTGATTAAGATATGAGGCTCAGTCAAACCGTGAGTCCGAATAGGCTACACTGACAGCTGTGAAGCTCATGTAATCCTGCGACTCCCAGCCATTCCCAAGCCAGCTGCAAAAACCTTGATTCCTGCCATCTGCTCATGAAAACTGGCTGTTTGGAGTACGTATGGGCGATCTCAAGATCTCTCCTTTCTCCAGAGAGATTTTGGCGGTCCGGATCCAACATCTGGCTGCCGTTTTCAGCCGTAATGTCATCCATCTCTGCCAGGGACATCAATTCACCATGTCCTCACTGGAAGTTATCCCCTAGCATTAGGAATTTGGAGCAACGTCCATTCATGTTGCATGAGCAGGTAAGGAGAGAAGAAAGGAAATGATGCAGAAGTCATGAAGAATGACCAAGTCAATCTTGGAGTTGGAGAACCTACAATTTCCACAGGTAGACTCTTCCACTGCTAGAACACTGGCATCATTAAAATCAATTTCCTTCAGTAGTGATTGATTGATTGATTGATTGATTACGTGCCATCAAATCAGTGTCGAGTCTTAGTGACCACATAGATACATTTTCTCCTGAACAATTCAGTGTTAGGGTTGCTTATTTTCAGAAAAACAATTACTTGGAATCTGATGAGTTCAAGGAATTCTGAGCGGGCGCACACTTCGGTAAACTTTTCCTCTGCTTGCCTGTATGCATCAGCTTTCCTTAAGTACCTTGTGGAGGATTGTTTTTAATAACTGGTTGCGCATTTCTCTTTACGCTTTCCTCCCTACATTCTCAGGCATCCCTTCCTCATTCAGGACTGTGAAAGAACTCAAAAAGTTCCTGACCATGGTGATTTATACCTGCTCAGCCCAGCATGCTGCTGTGAACAGCGGACAGGTAGGAACAAGTGCACCTGCAAACAGGTAAATCCGCTGAGGGTCATTAATTTGCGGGGGCATACCCTATAGGCCCCGCTAGGTGGCAGCACTGAATCACTGTGAGTGGATCTTGAAATGCTAAGCAGGAACAGATCTGGTTAGGATTTGGATGGGAAAGCCACTGGAAGTTCCAGGGCTGGAGACTAGACTGGGAAGTTAGAAAACAGAAGAGGGTGATAGGAAATCATTTCCCATCACGTTGCAAGAAAAATTCCGGGACATCCTTGGAGTCACCAGAAGTCAAGGAAAGTTCCCTTACAGAATCAAGCAGTTGGACGTGATCATCATGAGGACCAGGCTGTGGGATGTAACCTACCAGGAACCCTTTGGTGTTGTTCATTCTTGGAATGTTGGATTGCAGTTTGATATCGGTGCCTGGATGCCCAACTTCCCCTCCTCCATGAGGAAGCCTCCCCCACAGAGCAAGGGCCAAGCGAGTCTGAAGAGCTACAAAGACACCATCCCAGAAGTCAACATCACATCCATCATCCTGAGCACCCTGTGGCAGCTCAGTGCCCCTTCAGGAGACATGGTGAGTGCACCCACCCACTCTAGAAATGGATGCCAAGATGACAGGCCCACCTCCCTGATGCTTCAGTGACATGGGGGGAAAGGCGATAGTGGTGAAGCACCTTGCTAAGGACCCCTAGGGCAGTGCCTGACTCCTCCAGATAGGCTGTGCAATGGTTCTCTAAGAAGATCTGCTGTGTCCCCAAATGACAATGGTAAGCCAAAGAGTAAACACTAATGACAACAATGAGCTGGTGGACTCAACCATCTATATCAGCATAAGGCAACGTTTGCAGCCCATCCAGTCAGGTGAGATACCTGGGGCTTGTTGATGCCAGTGGGATAAATCCTTGGAGAAGATCAGTGGAACCACCTCTCTGCTGTGATGGCTTGATTCCACCCTTGGTCTACTTGTAAGCAAGTGCTGAGCAGTCAAGCTTTGAGGGTTAGGGTTAGAGCCATTATGAACACTCCTCAAAATAAACTCTGAGTAATCTGGAGCTTCCACCTGCCCTGTATACCTTCTAGTTTGCAGTGCTGAATGGTCTTCAGGATTGGTCACCATGCTTTTTGTAAACAAAGAACAAAAACAAAACCACCCACCCACCCACACTATTTTGCATAGGAGTCACCTTGGAAGAAGCACTGGTAATGAAGAACAGGGGGGTGCAAGCTATAAGCAATGGGAGAAAATGGTGCGGGGAGGAGAAGTGGGAGAAGCAATATTTTGGTGGAGCTGAGGAGCAGGACACCCAGCGCAAGCCTCTTTACAAGGGGATGGGGCTGTGATAATGGCCATAAATATGACATGGAGATGGGTTAAGAAGAAGTGGACGATGAAAGGTCATTTTCAGAGACCAACTGGTTGAGGTGCTTGTTCCATATGTATACAAAGTTGCTGTGGCTGCAAATGCAGTTTTAAGTTGCTTCAATGGACATCTAGTTTCCAAATCATGGGAAATAAATCATTCCACCGTGTTCTGTCAGTTCGGTGTCCATATTTGGGCACCACCCTTGAAGGAAGATTCGGAGAACATGGAATAGCTTTAGAGAAGAGAAATAGACTAGAAACCCAAGTCCTACAAAGAGAAATGGAAGGGAGTGGGATGTTTGGCTCTGGGAAGAGAAGATGAGGTGTTGTGGGGAGGGGAAATAGGATAGCCCTCTCGAAGGTCATCCCAGACTACAGAATATGGAATAATGGATTGAAGTTATAGGAAGGCAGAATCTCTGGAATGTTAGGAAAAATTACTTAATAGTAAGTAATAGTCAGTAGTTCCACTGTCAAACTACAAAGAGCAGTTTGACAGTGGAACTATTGACCCAGAAAAATGGTGACCTCCCTTTTGTTAGATGCTTTCAAGCGGAGGCCGGAGAAGACTAATACTGTCTGGGATACTTTAGTTTGGAAACTCAGCAAGGTTGGGCTCCATGGCCTCCGTCACCCTTTCTATGACTCAAGGGAAGGACTTCATTAGATGAGTAATCCCTTCCTTCTCCTTCTCCTTCTCCTTCTCCTTCTCCTTCTCCTTCTCCTTCTCCTTCTCCTTCTCCTTCTCCTTCTCCTTCTCCATTCCTCCTCTTCTCCCCCTCTTCTCCTCTCCTCCTCCTCCATTCCTCCTCCTCCTCCTCCAGATTCCCTTGGGCCGATATCCTGACGAGCATTTCACCGAGAAGGCCGCTAAAAAGCTCATTGCAGCCTTTCAAGACCAACTGGACAAGATTTCCAAGGAAATTAAGAAGAGGAATAAATCGCTCACCGAGAAGGAGCCTCTCACCAAAGAGGATGAGTCTGTCCTTGTTGCTTACAACTACCTCTATCCTCCCGAGATAGAGAACAGTGTCAGCATTTAAGTGGGGGTGTGGGGGGGACTCCATTCTGTGGAAGAATTTAAGCAATCTGAATATTATTAAAAGTTTTAGCATGGAGCTTCTGAGCATAGGAAGAGTTTAAACTGTAGCAGCAAGTATTTAGCAAGCAGGTGGGCTTCAAGAGGAAGTAGTTTCTATGTTGTATTAATGGGTAGACAATGCAAGAGAAGGTGGACTAGATCGTGAGAGCTTGTGGAAAGTTTTGCTGTTGCACAATGCAAGGGCAGCCTGACTTCATATAATTATTTTTTTGTCGGGGTTTTCTGTAACCAATCCTGCTTTCACAAATCTGTAGTCCCTTGTTGCTTCATTATCAATACACCCTATTGTCTTTTGGGGGGCCTTGCCCATGGCATACGACTGAACGTGCCCATATGTGCTTGGCCTGGCTTTGCGAACCCATCATAAATGTTGGAGGTTGAACGACTCCGTGCTGTCTTGACTGAGTAGAGAAAATGAACCTGCCCTTCCCCTTGTGGGGCCGAGTGAGAAGGGAGAGAAAGTTGTAAGTCGAAAGCGGGATGGAGATTAAATTAAATTCATAAGTTCCCTCTTCCAGGTTATTCTCTAATGGTTTGCAGCATTGTGAGGGTGAGGCGGTCATGCTGGGTGGGGAATTCTGGGAGCTGGAGTCCAACGTCTATCTATCATCTATCTGTCTGTCTGTCTGTCTGTCTGTCTGTCTGTCTGTCTATCTATCTATCTATCTATCTATCTATCTATCTATCTAT